GCGACATTCCCTGGGTGACGCACAATGCGACGCATGGAAAGTATTAGGTTTGCAAGTTATCCTATTTCGACTAGGAAAGGGAGAATTCGTCTAGGTCTGACCCTACTTGGTATAAATACATGAAAAAACATTATTTTTTGGACTTTTGACATACTTTAGACCTAAGGAGAGCACAAACCACGCTTTGGAGAAGGCTTCTAACTAGTTTTTCTTCTCTTTTCTTCTCTTCTTTTAATCTCATAATTTATTAGTTCTAGAATTTTGGGTGCTACATGAACGTTGTAGTATGAAGCTTGAATTATTCTTATTATTTTATCATGTTGGTTTATTTATTCAATCTTGCGCTTAATTATTTGATTGCTTGATCAACAATTGAATATTATCTATGAATCTAGGATTGAACTAGGGAGAGAGAATTTTAGATTGCATATAAGATTGAGTAGAGCGAGATCTTGAACCTGATTAACGGGGAACAAATTTGCGGTTAGGATAGGGATATACCTAATCTCCTTGCTTGGTTATTATACGGTAATTGTTAATGCGCTCTTGTTAATCCTAATTCCATTGGAATATAGGCGTTAGGTTAGCTTGAATATGCGAGTAGTACTTCGGAAAAAGGCTATGAGCAATATTAACCCTGTCAACCAATAAACCAGATAAATTAATTAGACAATTTAAGTAAAAAAAAACTCAATGGGATTGTTAGCTAACCCATAGCTCTGGAATATTTTCTCTCATTGAATTCATCTCAAAGATTACCAACTTATTTTTTTAATTTTTTAGTTTGCTACTCTAGATTAGTTGTAGTTAAATATTCATACTTTAGAAATAGCTTGAATAGATTAATTGTTTGGGTTTAATTTAGTTGATAGTTAATCAAGTCCTTGAGGGTACGATATTTGAACTTACAATCCTATATTACTTGTATGATCACGCATACTTGTGTATGCGTTTGGGAGCAACACTGGGCAAATGACGTAGTGACACGTGAAACTATAGACATGTGTGACGTGAGTCAGCAAACAGCTGGCACCGGGTGTAAGTATGCAATCGGTGCTGAACGAATCCCGAAAGCAGAGTAGCCGATAATAAAGATTCAAAGTGTTGTCATCGGATATCATTCAATGAGCAATCGTTATAAAGAATATCTGCATTTATAGCCATCCGTTATATAGCCATTAATGATAGTTTTATTCTCATTTAAGAGTAGCTTGATTTAGGGATCTTATCTCCCTAAATATAGCTATAAATAAGAAAATTATCATCATCGTAGGGGACAAAAACATTTTGTACCCAAAAAAGCTGTACTCTACTCTCATTTGATAATATAACTCTCAGTCTTAGTTCTTGAATATTGTTCTCACTCTTGCCATCGGAAAGGCTAAGTCCTAAGCTAGACTTGTAATTTCCTTTAATTTCGTTTCATAATTTTTTTGTTCTTATTTTTTTAATATTTTTTGGATCAAATCAATTCACTTATTTATAAACCATATTATAAATTAAACTGTACTATTTTACGGGTAAATACGCTCTCTTGTATCTAGATGCATCCTAAAATAATACAATACCTTTTACTCCGGGAGAGACTATCATCTTTAGAAAGTTATTTATATTTGCTGCCCTCTATTGAGTGGCGTTGATGCCGTTACTTATGTCCTAAGGTGAACCAAACAGGAAGGCTATAATCTACTTATTCGATCAATTGCCATCTAACTTGAAATGTGTTTATCCCTAAATTAGCTAGAAAAGTTATTGTAGTACATCAGTTAGTGACACGTTATCTGCAATTGCAGAGGCATAAAGGTCTCTAGTTGTATTAATGTCCTCTAAAACTAGACTTAGGTCTATTTAAGCCCGCCTAACGTATATAAGAAGAGAGCAGAAAATATAGATTAAAGGCGCCATTGCCGTTAGCTGGACCATTTAATTTCCCTAAATGCAATCTCAGAACCCATTTTTGGGAAACAAAGACAATTCGAGCTGGCCCAATACCTTTTATTTTCTTTCTTTCTGGGACCCCCTATACCAGTTGAGTTTGACACTTCAGAAAATGTCCAAACAGTTATGCATAAAAAAAGGGCAAAGGGCCAAATCCACACTACTTTCGAAAATGGTCTAAAAATACCCATCGTTATACTATTGGGTTATCTATATCCCTACAGTCATACTTTGAGTTTAAATATACCTCTCATTTAAACGGAGGGACACGTGTCATCGTCTTGTTGGTCAATTCTAAATATCTCCTAATTAATTAAAAAGACTCATTACCCATATTCGAAAAATATTTTTTTTTTGCAAAAACTGGAAAAAACTATTTTTTTTTTTTACTAAAAACTAAAAAAAACAAAAATATTTTTTTCCAGTTTTTACAAAAAACCTGCTTTAAAAAAACTTAAAAATATTTTCTAAAACAATATTTTTGTAAAAACTGAAAAAAAAATTGAAAAGTAATTTTCTAAAGCAATTAAAAACTGGAAAAAAACTGAAATATTTTTAACTAAAAACTGAAAAAAAAAAATATTTATTTTTTCAGTTTTTACAAAAAATTGCTTTAGAAAATTACTTTTTAGTTTTTTTTAATTTTTAAAAATATTATTTTAGAAAATATTTTTCAGCTTTTTTTAAAGCAGATTTTTTTTGTAAAAACTGGAAAAATAATATTTTTATTTTTTTTCAGTTTTTAGTAAAAAACAAAAATAGTTTTTTCCAGTTTTTACAAAAAAAATTGCGTTAGAAAATTAATTTTCAGCTCTTTGTTTTTCAATTTTTACAAAAATATTTTTCACTTTTTTCTAAAGCAGTTTTTTTGTAAAAACTGAAAAAAAAATAATTGTTTTTAGTAAAAATAATTTCAGTTTTTTCCAGTTTTTACAAAAAAAGAATTGTTTTAAAAAATTATTTTACGGGTATGGGTAATGAGTCTTTTTAATTAATTAGGAGATATTTAGAATTGACCAACATGACGATGACACGTGTCCCTTCGTTTAAATGAGGGGTATATTCGAACCCAAAGTATGACTGCAGGGGTATAGATAACTCAATAGTATAACGAAGAGTATTCTTAGATCAATTTTCGAAAGTAGAGGGGTATATTTGGCCAGATCATTTTCGAAAGTAGAGGGGTATATTTGGCCCTTTGCCGATAAAACAAAGACACAGAAAAAAGAAAAACAAAAAGAAGTATCGTCCCCGGAGAGATTCGAACACTCGCAATTGACCAACATGATGATGACACGTGTGCCTCAGTTTAAATGAGGGGTATATTTGAACCCAAAGTATGACTGCAGGGGTATAGATAACTCAATAGTATAACGAAGGGTATTCTTAGATCATTTTCGAAAGTAGAGGGGTATATTTGGCCCTTTGCCGATAAAACAAAGACACAGAAAAAAGAAAAACAAAAAGAAGTACCGTCGCCTGAGAGATTCGAACTCTCGCGGGGAAACCCCATGTACTTAGCAGGCACACGCCTTAACCACTCGGCCAAAGCGACACTTCGTTATACAAGACCTTGTTGTCTTTAATATATCTGTCATATGCCTATTGTCCATCAAAGAGCGTCCATTTCTGGAAAGTAGTAGAAGGCCGAACGAGACAGCAAGTGCTCTAGACGATAGCAGTGCATTAATCTTTTCGCAGTATTTAAATTTGGATTTTATTTCTCCCTTAATCTTCTTAAGCCGCTAATTGTTAGTAATTGATTTTATTTCTAAAAGGGCAATGAAAAACACGACTGAAGCAATTAATATATACAAGGTTCATTGCTGAGAGTTTTTTTTTTTCCTCCTCTATCCTGAACCCATTGGACTCAACTAATATAGATTAGCACGATACAGTCTATTAGAAGGGAAACATCTACTTACTAGAGATTTCTCCATTCCAAGGATTTGAAACCAAGATTTCTTAATAAGGGTGGGAACCTATCCATCCACCATACTTGCAAACTAAGAGTTATTGTTCGAATTTCGAGAGTCAAATAATTTTTTTTTAATATTGATCTTTTCATATTCCTTTCGTTTGAAAAAGAATATCATAGTTTGACTTGACATAAATTTTAATAAAAAAGGAAGACTTTTGAGATATTTGGTTTTAAATAAGCCATAATATTTGTGTGACTATAAAACTTTTAAAATTTGTAATATGAAATGTGTCATAACATTTGTGTGGTTATAAGTGCTTCCTATTAAAAAAAAAATTAAAAGGTGCCAATCTTTTTTAAACAGAATAATAAGGAACTAATGTCAATATTTTTGAAACGGAGGGGGTATATCTTTTAAATATTTGAAATTGTGAATTATTGTGATTTATTCTACTTTTAATTGTAACGACCCGACTGATCGTTTTGAGCTTTAGTATTCTATTCGGTGGTTTAAAACTTTGAGTAACTTTATATTATGTATTATGACTGCGTGTATGGTTGGTTTCTGTTTTCGAGCGGTTCAGAATTGATTTGGAAGAATGATTCTCATTTTTGAAGTTTTAAGTTGTAAAAGTTGACCAAGGTTTGACTTTTGGGTAAACGGACTCGGAATCGGATTTTGATTATTTCGATAGGTTCGTATGATGATTTTGGAATTGTACGTATATTCGGATTTGGTTTTGGAGGTATCCGACCGGGTGACAGTAGCACACTACCCCATAGTCAAAATACAACCGAACAACATTTAGTAGGCATTTGGACATAAGAATTGTAAAATTCGAAAAAATGGTGAAAATATTTTTCAAAAGAAAATGGTATTTGAAATTTAGAGTTGTGTTTGGACATAAATTTTAGTTTGGGTTGTTTTTGAAGCTTTGTGAGTGAAAATTTTGAAAAATAGCTTTTTGGAATTTTTTAAATTATCAAAAATTTCCAAAATGGATCTTCAAGTGAAAATTAAAAATTTTATGAATAAATGCTGATTTTGAAAAAAATTAAATTTGTTTTGAAAAAAACTTCCATCAAATTTTATGTCCAAACGGGCTCTTAGAGTTTATTTCTTGTGTGGTTCATTGGTTTCCACAACTTTTAGAATCTGCTATCTTGGACCCCATCTCTTTCACTTTTCCAAAACAAAACCCCTCATGCCAATCAATATCGCTGCTACTTGAACCCTCAATCGTCCTTCATATTGTGCTATTCTAATCAAATGGCTTCTTTGTCCAGATTTATTGTAAAAGATTGTAAATTGCAGTCTTCAGACGCACTTCACAGACCAAGTTAGGGGTTTTCTGCTCGAAGGACATCCACCCATTTTAGTATGTTCCACATTTCTTTTCTTACTTCTTTAGTGTTCTGTTCATTAGTTTGATTTATTTAGTTGCAATTTTGGTACTGTTGATTAATGATACGATTGTTTAGGAATGATCATTGGCTAGTAGTTGATTTTGGGAATTTACTTGAAATTTTCTTTTATTAAGCCTAATAGTTATATTGAATGTCCATATTAAGGTATAAGGAGTGGACTTAGTGGACATGAGAGTGGAAGATGTAATTTGTTCTTAAATAAGAACCAAATTTCAGATGTTGCTTTCCCAGTTCAATCCTCATTTATTGGGATCACTTCACTGTGGAATTCAAAAATATCTTGCAACGCAGCTACAAATGTGTCAATACGAAAGAAATAATTGAGACTTTGACCACTATTTTTCCTCTCTGGGTTATATTAGGTACAATCCTTGGCATCTATAAACCTGTCGTGGTCACTTGGTTGGAAACATACCTGTTCACTCTTGGTTTGGGATTTCTAATGCTTTTGATGGTTTGACACTAACATTTGAGGACTTCCGACGATGCTTAAGGAACCCATGGACTGTTGGTGTTGGATTTCTGGCTCAGTACTTCATCAAACCACTTTTAGGCTTTGCAATAGCAATGATTTAAGACGTGTGGAGGCGAATTTTAGGGGAAAAGCTATTTCCAAGGGTTGAGTTGGCCTAGTTGAGGTAAGTATCTTGCCTAATTTTGTGTGGGGGAACTACCCCTTAGAATTTGAGTCATTTGTGCTAATTGTGTCATGTGAAGGCCGTGTACGCGAAGTGACGAGTACGTGCTCGGGCGTATTTGTGGAAATTTGACCGTTTAGGGCTCTTAGGTTCTTACGTTCATTAGATATGAAGTTGTTTGTCATGTTAAATCCCTCATTTACTAAATTCACCCTTACGTGTCTTAATTGGAATTAATTGCTTCATGTTCTACCCTTATTGCCGATTAAACTCTTATGTGCCTTAACTGAAGTTGTTGCCTCTTTTGTCGTCATGCTATCCTTTCCGTAATTGCTTAACCTTAATTGAAATCATTATTATATTTCAGTAATTGCTTAACCTTAATTGAAGTCATTATTATCTCTTCCGTAATTGCTTAACCTTAATTGAAATCATTATTATCTCTTCCGTAATTGCTTAGCCTTAATGGAAGTTTGTTATCCCTTTCATTGTTGACATATTCTTATTTGAGGTCATTGATTCATGCTATTTCTCTTGTTGTCGAATTGTACTTTCGTAGAATAATTGTTACACATTACCTCTCCCTTGTTGAACTATTCTTGTTGAGATTATTACTTCAATGTTGTGTCTTTCTTTGTGAGTTCGTTCTTCCGTTTCTTTGTGTTCTGAAGTTCTCGTGTTAATTTACTTGCCGTATTCTCGTGTTATTGTTGTTGTTGTATTCATTGTTGTTGAGCCGATGGCTATACGTGGTTATGATATTGAAACTATTTTGAGGAAATGTTGTGGCATGTGGGCACATATTGTGAAAGTCATTTATTTGAGAGTTATGTTTTGGCACACGTGTTGTTGTTGAGAGAATTGTTATTGTGTTTGCACGGGGTTTCTGACGTGCGATTGTTATTGTGTTTGCACGAGGTTTCTGTCGTGCGATTGTTATTGTGTTTGCACGCGGTTTTTGTCGTGCGGTTGTTATTGAAATGCATGCGGTGGTATAAGGTTTGGGTGTTGAAACGCATGCAGTGAGATAAGGTGGGCTTGAAACGCGTGGCTAGTAGGGGAACTACTAGAAGTCATCGGTGTGATAAAGTGGGCTAAAATGCGGGATGCTATTTCGGGAAAAATGACTTTCAAAACTAAATATAAAGGCTCCCGCGGTGATATAAGGAAAGTTGTGATTCATTTTATGATTTGAGACTACGAGGCGGTACCTCGGTAGGGCTCTTGTTGTCATTTCCCTTTTGTGTGCACTTGTCTTTGATTGTTGTTTTCCTTGGCATACTATTAATTGTTTCCCTCCATGTTGCACTATTTGCTCAGTTCTATGTAGCTAATCTTATTTTGCTAGTCGCTGCACCAAACTTCATTGCTGCCTTTATTATATTGTACATTTCGTGGTGACCGTTTCTTATGTGTCATTCATTGTTTCTACTCTTATTTGTTGACTTGAATTGTGGTAGAACACTTGCACAAGCATACACGTAGTTAATTTACCCATATCGGTTGTAAAAGATGAATCCTGACGTTATTAACCATTATACGTACTCTTGTCTATTTGCCTTTTGTGTGAGGGATGTTCTATTAACACGTCAGTCGTCCGTGCAATTATGAGTTGTAATGTGGGCACAAGATGCCAAGTGGTTAGGGTTCACGAATTGGGACCCGTGATTTGTGATTTTGAGGTTTGGCACCTCGTGGAAATCCTTGTGTAAAACTGGTGTGAAATTGGTTGTTCCTACTAGTTATGACTTGTCTTCTTTTCTTCGGTTTCACCGGATTTGGACTGTGCTCAGCTTACTCTACAGTGTTATTACCTGCTGTGTCTCGTTGCTATCTGTTACTTTTAGTCCCTTTTATAAATGTTGTATTATTATTGTCATCATACCTAGCCTTATACTGATATTGTTCCCCGCTAGTTCTACATGTATACTTGTTCAGATTGTTTAGTCCAGTGGGTGTGTTGACTGTCCCTCGTCACTACTCACTGAGGTTAGTCTTGATACTTACTGGGTACCGTTGTGATTTACTTATACTACACTTTTGCACATTTTTTGTGCAGATCTCAGGTGCCTCGGCTATTGTTTATTATTAGCTAGCTGGTCGAGCATTGCTGTGGAGATTCAAGGTAAACCTGTCACATTCGCAGGCTTCAGAGTCACCTTCTGATATTGTACTTTTACCGTTTAATTTCCATTCTGAGCAGTTATATTTAGGGATTCTTGTAGTAAACTCAGTAGAGCTTATGACTTGTACTACCGGTTTTTGGAATTGTAAGTTATATATAAAGATTTCTATTTCATATTTATCATTGATGGTTGAATTCTTCTATTAATTTAGTAAGTGTTAAGCTTACCTAGTCTTAAAGACTAGGTGCTGTCACGACATCCTACGGAGGAAAATTGAGGTCGTGATATTAACGTAATTTTCAAATATGTAAATTTCTTTTAAAAACCTTACAAATTATATTCTGAATTCACGGTTAAAGTTAGGAAGTTTTACTCTCGATATCATCATAACGTCAGGGAGTAATAGTTAGGTTTATGCCTGTACTTGTCATCTTTGACGTCAAGGATTGAGTCTCAGATGAATCATTCCCTTCCCGATTGTCCAAACGAGTGTTACAAAGAAGAATCTCATTTTCACATGATAAGACTCAATGGAGTAATAAGATAAGATCGGTATTACATTACCAAACCGTGATTCCACTACTCCACTTTTATTTGTTGGCTTGTTGTAGTATTAGCAGCAGTAGCATGGGGACCAGCAGGTTTTTGTAAAACAAGAAATACAGTTTAACTTTGGAAACCTAGGATAACAAGTACATGAGGTACAAGAGCAACTCAAACAGGAAGGACATTTTAAGTTATAACAACTGCATTTGCATATGGAATTGCTGCAGCCCTGGAAACATGGACAGGAGCAACATCGACACTTCGGTATTGAACAACTGATGGATGAGCAGCAGTTACACAAATTACAGTTACAGCAGTTTGGCATCTTCAAACAGCAGCAAATCCGTGAGAGGTTAAAACATGATGAAGCTCTGCAATACCAAGCAAACTCGATTGTTAGTCCACTACTAAAAAACTGCAAAAATCCGTCCAAGAAAACCAACCGAAATCGGTCGGAAACATAGAAAAACTGACTGATTTTAATTCGTTGAAAAAATAGTGGTCGCTAACGTGTGGCGACCGAAGACGATCATAATTTCTGACTGAAGTCGGTGTTAGGTGTTGTCCAGATTTTCTTACCATATTTAGTTTTCCTATCTCTTGAAGGAAAGAGCAACATGTTTACCATAATTGGGTTTTACTTCTTGTAGAAGGAAATTATAAATCTCACATATTTGGCTAGTCCCTTTTCTTGTAGGAAAATGTTTGGACTTTTATAAATTGAGGATCCTTCCTTCTCATTCATGAGCATCTACAATGTAGCCATATGGGGTTTGGGAGTCGTGTTAAGGGGGGAGAACTTTACGGGACAAGTGTTAGTGTGTCACTTGTGTTTGCCTCTTCGTGAGGTTGTTCTCTAGATATTTTGTACTCTCTTTTTATATAGTAGATTGCTCATCTCTGTCGTGGATGTAGGTCAAATTAACCGAACCATGTTAAATATTTGTGCCTTTTTTGGTATATTTCTCTTTTATTGTACGATTTATCCTCATTCAAGATTTGCATTGCTAGCTTCCGCATGACACCTAGCGATCGATTTCGGTCGAAAATATAATTATTTGATAATTTTACATTTCTTTTTAAATTTTAACACACCGACCGAAATCGGTCGGAATCATTAAAAAATAAATAATAAAAAATGCTATTTCCGACCGACTTCGGTCAGTAATTTCAAATTTTGCAGATTGCACATTGAAATTACCGACCGAAGTCGGTCGAAAATTATGATTTTCTGGGCTTTTAATATGAGCATTCCGACCGAAATCGGTCGAAAGTCGGTCGGTTTTCTGGGTAAAAACCTAACAGAATATGGTTACTTTTAAGCTACACCACATACCAATTATAACCAATAATCATCTTATAATGGCAGCATTATATTGCTTCCATTCAACCACAATTAACCAACAACAACCGCAATTAACCAACGCCTACCACAACAACAACGCTAATAACAACCACAACAACAACGCCAACCACAATAACAACAGTAAAAATGTTCAATAATAAAATAATATCAACAAAAGAATATCAACAATATAATCATCATTCAAAACTATTCCAACTAAATATTCACAAGTTCAAGACTTTGTTTAGCAATACACATCATTCAAGGAGTATTTTGTATTGTATCATCTCTATTTTCACTACTAGAAGCTTCATAGTCGGCATGGTTTGAAGGATCACGACAAGAAGGATTAGCATCTGAGAAAGACTCACGAGACCGAGAAATCATGTCACGCCCCAAAATCGAGGAGCGCGACCGGCGCTTAACCGAGTTAACCCGGCCGAGCAAGCCTATTAGATTTTCTTCTACCCAAACTCATTCATGAATAAAGAGAATATATATCTTTGTTAATCAAATAATAAAGTGATCATGTCTGTAATACTAATTTGTTATCATTAGTTACTTCATTTAAAGTCTCAATTTCACACCTATTTTTCATAATATGAAGTGGAAATAGTAACTCAAACACAACACAACGAGTTTGACTTCCCCAGCACCAATATACAATTCACACTATGTCTACGGAGCCTCTATAGAAAAAGAATAGTACAATGATAATGCCGGAAATAAGGCCCCGACTATACCTCAAACAGAATACACAAAGTACAAAAGATTCATGACCCCGAGATGAAGTGGGGCTTACCAAGTCAGCTGGGAAGAAGGTGTACTGCTATCACTGATCAATATCTCCTGCTGTGGAATCACCTGCATCCATTTAAAGATGCAGCCCCCCCAGCAAAATGGACGTTAGCACCGTCGAATAGCACTAGTATGTATAGCTAAATACCATCTCAATAGAATGAATAATAATANCCTTCTCAATAGAATAAATAATATTACAAGGAGGAATAATCATAAAATCAATGAAAGTCTCGAATAATACCAAAACATCAAGTTTCACGTAAATTTCCATATTTTCAGATTAGTGATTCTTAGCACCGATATACAATTGTTCACACTCCCATTGTTCACAATACCAATACCACTGTACTCTTAGCATGGAGTCCGATCACGACCCGATCGGCTAGGCTATCTCTTTATAGATATCAACCACAATCACTCTCAATATCAATACTCCCGTACCTTTAACACGGAGTCCGATCACGACCCGATCGTCTAGGCTATCTCATTAGAGACATCAACCACAACCTCAAATTCAATTATAATTTCTAGCACAATCACCACCATGTGTGCGACATGGTGTCCGATCACGACCCGATCGTCTAGGCTATCTCATTAGAGACATCAACCACAACCTCAAATTCAATTATAATTTCTAGCACAATCACCACCATGTGTGCGACATGGTGTCCGATCACGACCCGATCGGCTAGGCTGTCTTATTCGAGACATCAACCTTTTTATATCAATCATCGCATTTCATACTTCTTTTTCATCTTTTCATTTTGTTGGCACTATTGGTCACAATTATAAAACCATTCTTCGCACGTTGGCCGTATTTAGTATTTCATGCTCAACTTTTTCACTTTCAAACATCAACATCATTATCACCAATAACAACAACTCAAATCATAGTGTGTAGTACGCATGTGTGCAATTAAGAGTCTAAGGCACATAGATATTTCACAAAAGTTGGCATAATAGCCTTCGTTTGAACTTGACTTGAAATTGAAACATTATTAATATACAACCCATACTTGAATACATCCTCAATTGATAACATAACATGAATAAAGCATTTAGGATACTTATTGAACATATATCTTTCAACACAAACTTACTCGGAATAGGCAATTTTCTAATGAACCACTCGGGTCTTACATAAATTACGTGAATATCGTGGGATTTAATTCTAAGAGAAGATATTAGCCAACATACCTCAATCGAGCTTCCTTAAACTCTAAAATATTTCGGAATTCTTAGCAACTTCAATCTATTATAGAAATATAACAAATTAAACCAAAATTAGGAAGATGCTCATGGTTCTAGCTCATTTGAGCATTTTATCAAACACTAGGTGTGCATTAAGGTTTCAAGGTCCTTTTATGGAGGATTCCATCATCCCACAACCCAATCTTTACCATTTTAGCTCAATAATCTTCTTACACCCTTTGATAATACATGCATGCAAGATGAACAACTCTCATCAAAATATATCTTACTAATTACCCAATTCTAGACAAAATTAGAAATTGAGGGTTTGAGTGTAGAATCTTACATTTAGGATGAAGACATTGTGGGTTATCCTTGTTAATCTTCCAAGATTTGAGTAAAGATTGATGAAAATTAGCCTAGGATTCCTCTCTCTCTAAAACATCAGAATGTTTACTCAAAAATGATCCTTTGCGTGTATTTAACGAAGTTGGGTCGGGTTGTAAAAATCCAAAAATGAAGCTCCAGAACAGGGTCTGCGATCGTATATGCGATCGCATAATCGATATGCGGACCGCATATCGGTCGCATAATTGGTGTCCAAAACCGGCAAAAATCTGTCTGTGTCTGCGGTCACTATGCGGCTCGCAGACCTGTTCTGTGGTCGCATAATGAACCGCAAAACAGTTCTGCGGTCGCATAGTCGACTGTAGAATGGCATCCAAACTGACCCTTTCCTACCTCACTTCTGCGGCCATTATGCAGCCCGTAGAGTGATTCTGCGATCGCATAATGGACCGCAGAAACGCATTTCGCTGCCAAAATTTTTCCTTTAATTTTCAGTGCATTGTTCAACCCAAAAAGTTCGAGCTGCGGCTCGCAAGCTCACCGCGAAGAATTTCTACAATCCTCCAACACGTAATCCTAGTCCGGCACCATGAAACATTATTTTTTTCATTTGCAAAATTTTACGGGGCCTTACAAATCGAGAAAGCACCACTAGCAAGAAGATTGACCAGCTAACCTTGAAGGACATTAAATTGTTAGTCCCTTTTTTCTAGCTGACCTTGAAGGCTATCAAATTGTTTATCTCTCTTTTCTTCTCTAGCCTTTATCTCTTCAAGCTCTGGTGACAGCTTTGCGATCTTCTTCTCCATAGCTGAGAGAGTCGACCTATCAAGTGCCTCGCCCTGGGCGGAAGTCCCTATACCTTGCAATCCAACCCTGTAGCGCCGAAGTGATCTCTCTGGAAGGCCGTATGCTATCCCCTTTTTAGGACCACCGACAA